GCCGGTGCTTTCAGCCGCAGGACCTCGGTTCCGATTCCTCGTTGCTTCCCACGTTTATTCTCTACAAGCTTCTGGACAGCGGTGGTCTGGCAGTGTTGCAGTTCAGCACCTACTATAGTTGGTGTCGACCTTACTGCTGCAAGTCTCCGAACCCTCGTCTCGGCATTTCTGCCATGCTTGTCTAGTCGACCCTCAGGCCCGTTGCTTGGTTCCCTGACAAACGGCCCCCAGCAAAAATGGACGCTTTCGCCTTTGACGCATACCCTGCAGTGCTTCGGAGTGGATTCCTTCTATTTAAAAGCCCGTGTCTCGCACACAAACACACGTGTGCTGCATAATTCAGTTTATGGATTAGATGGGTGGATTGATGACGCCGGAGACTCCTTCCAAGCTCACAAGCTCACGCTGCCGGTCTCCATGGCATCCAGTTAACGGGACACACTTCATTTTCTGCCCTCAGTACATGGCTTTGCCTGACTCACAGTTGCACTGCCTTGGTCCCAAAGCCTGCAATCCCCATCTGCCAGGGACAAATCTGTTGGCTTCGTGGGTGGACAGCCCGATGCAGTCACAACGGGCACTACGCCCAGACCTGCCTTACTACGCCCATGCATGCTTTATTTCTCTATTGTTGTCCCCTTGAAATTACAGTTATGCACTGCTGAAGAAAGGGTACTCTCTGAGGAATGTGTCCTTAGGTGACCGAGTTACGCAAACATTATAGATAGAGTGTACTTACACACACCTACTTAATGTAGTGTACTACACACCTAGAGGAATTGGTGTAGCCTATTGCTCCAGGCTGCAAACTTGCATAGCTGCTACTGGTGCTGAATCCCAGAGCAGTTGTATCACAATTGTAAACATTTACATCTAAACACAGATGGAGCACCATTCAAGTTCTTGACACCACGAGTTTCTCAGCGCCTTTGATTTTGTAGGATATGACTGTTGCACAGTCTATCAGTGACAAAGCCACTGCCTAGCACCTGACTAAATGTGTCTTACATTTTTCTTGCACTTCATTTTGCACTGGTCCCCATATAATGATTATAATCAATCCCTAATCTGGAAACTGGCTTTATCTCACCACACTAGTCAAAGTGATTCCAGTACAAAAGGCTGGTTTGTGTTCTAGAGCCCTTCTCTGCAGATGGCTAGGCATTGGTTGACACTCTGGTGCTACATTTTTCTCCTTGCCCTCTTCTGACTCAAGCCTTCTTTTTACAGGTCTTCCTTCTCCCTACACCCTCCCCACCATGTGTGTGAGCTGTGGTGCCCATGTGGAGAGCAAAAGATAACTAGGAATTGGCTCTCTCCACCACGTGGGATTCGGGGACTGAACTCAGGTTGTCTTGGTAACAAGCACTGTTATCCAGGTGCCTTTCCTCCTGTAACTACCTAATGCCTGTCATGGGCTCTGCTTCTAAGACAAGAGATTTAACTTTAGGACTACTCTCCACACCAAATATCAGATTCTTTGGTATATTTGATCATTCTATTACAAACTCACCTTAGGCATGTCACTCAAGCCCTCTGCTGACAGACAAGGCTCCAAAGACAGTCCAGCTCAAATGTCCATCCTTGCCCATCTCCCAATAGGGCAGCAGTCAGACCTCAGAAGGATGAAACCAAACATCCTGCTCAAAGGAAAAGCACCAAGTTTCCTTAGACGCTCTAATTTTATTACAGGACGTACCGGGGATGGGACAGGGGGTGACAAGATGGCAGCTGGGGGTATGCAGAGGTATCATTGAAGACTCAGGAAGCCCCAGCAGTCAGTCCTTTACATAGGACCGGAACTGCTCAGTGTGGAGTCCACTTGGCCCCTTCTGAGGCTGGGTGGCACATACTCATCATGCCTACGAGGAGGCAGAGGCACCGTGAAGTGCCCAGGTACTCTCCGTTTCTGTCGGGCTCATACCCCCCAAGATAAGGAACCTGGCAGAGCCATTGGCACCAGCTATGTTTGGCCAGATCATGAATCATGATTTTTATTTTTTTGAGACAGGGTTTTTCTCTGTGTAGCTTTGGAGCCTGTCCTGTAACTCGCTCTGTAGACCGGGCTGGCCTTGAACTCACAGATTTCCTCCTGCCTCTGTCTCTCGGGTGCTAGGACTAAAGGAGTGCATTACCACCGCCTTCAGGAGGAGTCATGATTTTAAAGGATTTCCTTGCTACCACAGGGGGAAGTGAGCAGGGGTGCTGTATCAAACAAAGCACCCTCCAACCCAAAACACAGCCTTTGGAGTCACATGGGTTTGATTCACAACTCCAGTACTGAGTGATCCTGGTTTAAAAATGGGTATGATTTTCCAATTCACTGGTTTGTTCTGAGAAATGAGGAAATGTGTGATCTCTGCAGGGTCTCCCAGAGACAATGAGGTGGGCTCTGTGGGGTGACTCCAGCAACAGATGAGAGCTGGGCTCAGGGATCAGGTACCTGCCTTCCTCCTCTGCCAGGTTGAAGACAGCCATGGCGGGGCAGGGAAAAGAACTGGGCACACAGGGAACTGGCTGATGTCAAGAAGGCCTTAACGAGATTAAGGTCAAGGCAGTCTTGGGAGTGTGAAGCGCAGGACAGACCTTGGAAGACCACTTGTAAAAACCATGGAAGAGAAAGACGATGGGCACGCTGTCCCCCACGTGCAGCTGCAAGGACATCAGGCAGGGTCCATCTGGGATTTCAGACCCAGCCATCATGCGGCTGCTGCTGGGGGGAGCCATTGTCCCCACTTCATTCTCCTCGATATTCAGATTTCTAAAAAATATCTATAAACTATGAGAAAGTTCATATAAAACGCTTTCCTGTGTGCATAAAAAAAGACTGGCCATGGTCAGTGGTTCAGGATGTGGGTCAAGTCCCTAGGCGTGGCCAAGGGGAACTGGTGGCCACCTAGTGGCAAATGAGTGTGTCCAGAGTACCCTGGGGGCCTAGACAGTGCTGGCTGTGGTCTTTGGCTGGGCGCCACTTCTGTGGAGTAGGGGTCAGGGTAGGAGGTGTCCTGGGGACACTGGCTCCAACAGTCCCATCATGAACCTATGCTGGGGCAGGCAGGAGGGACCCCCCCCCCCACAACCGC